TACTACTACTACTACTACTACTACTACTACTACTACTACTACTACTACTACTACTACTACTACTACTACTACTTACTACTTACTACTTACTACTACTACTTACTACTACTACTACTACTACTACTACTACTACTACTACTACTACTACTACTACTACTACTACGACTACGACTACGACTACGACTACGACTACGACTACGACTACGACTACGACTACGACTACGACTACGACTACTACTACTACTACTACTACTACTACTACTACTACTACTACTACTACTACTACTACTACTACTACTACTACTACTACTACTACTACTACTACTACTACTACTACTACTACTACTACTACTACTACTACTACTACTGACAGCATAGACCCTCGTCCTCGTCCTCCTTGGAACCTCGCGCGCGGCCGCCGACTGTCTGAGGGCGGCTCTGCGAGGCACCCTCTTCCAGCCAGAGCAGCAAGCAGGGTAAGCAGAAACCTGGGCGCGGGCGCGGCTCGTCCCCGTCTTCGCCGCCCCCCCATCCTCATCATCAATCTTCCTCTCACCAGCTTAGTAACGACGAACACATCCGGACCCGACGGGCCCAGAATCGAGATAGGTAGTTTTCAAAGCGTTCCAGGAAGCTGTCAGAGAGTTCCGCAACGCTCTGAAACGGCTGCGGCGCCCGATACATCCTCCAAACCCGCCGCTTCTCAGAGATTTCCGATTTTCATCGGTCTGATGTTGTCTCGATTCTGCCATCGTGTTACCAAACCCACGCCTTCTGTCAGGATGACGAGTCGCGATCCCGCGCGCTCCGCGACGGGATTCTCCATGGAAGCCCGCCCTGTATCCAGAAGGTCGCGGTCAAAAAGCCCGGAGACCACACGGCCAGGGATATGGAGACGTTTCCTGCGCACGGTGTTCCTCCTCCTCCTCCTCCTCCTCCTCCTCCTCCTCCTCCTCCTCCTCCTCCTCCCCCTCCTCCTACTCCTCCTCCTCCTCCCCCTCCTCCTCTTCCTCCTCGGAATTCTCCTCCCCCTCCTCAATCTTCCAGGCCTCACGTACAAAAACAGCAAGAAAGCAAAAAGCGACAACCAAAAATCAGGACGACGGAAAAGTGCTTCTCCACTGTGGCCTCCGGGCCGTTCTGCCCCGGCCGTTTCGCTGATCCCCTCCTCCGAACATGCTCTCCTCACCCTCTGGCCTGGGACACGCCCGGATCGATCTGACTCAAACGAGGGGCGCAGAAACGTTGAGGCGGAAGCTGCAGCCTTCTTCGTGGTGGCGACGACGGATCCCGGGGCCTGCCGCTCCTGCCCCGGGAGACGCCAGCGGACCACCTCGCACGTCCTGGGCGCAGGATGCGCCTGGCCAGGGCGGGTGCAGAAGCAAAATGTGCTGGTTGGCACCCCTGGGGCATTAATTACCATCACAAGCGCCCCCCTTCTATCCACCTCGCTCCCCTTCTATCCACCTCGCCCCCTTCTATCCACCTCGCCCCCCCTTCTATCCACCTCGTCCCCTGCTATCCACCTCGCCCCCTTCTATCCACCTCGCCCCCTTCTATCCACCTCGCTCCCCTTCTATCTATCCACCTCGCCCCCCTTCTGTCTACCCACCCGTTCCCCATTCTATCCAACTCGCCCCCCGCGCCGCCCTTGGCGCGCTTCGCGTGCCAGGGGAGGCGGGGGCCCAGCGCCTCCACACAGAAATCCGCGCAGGCCTCCGCAAGTCTGAGCTGGTGCCGGCCTTTACTCTTCGACGTGGGCCCCCCCCGACGCTGCCGCCCACGCCGTCCCACCCGAAAGGAATCACAAATGGGGACCCCGAAAAGTACCGATACCGCTACTCCCTGGACCTCTCCTGGGGCGCGCTCTGACCAGAGTTCCGAGGCGAATCCAGCCGTAGCGACGAGGGCCTCCCAGGAGGCCCAGGAAGGGAAAACGAGGGAAGGGCAGCAGTATCGGTATCTTCTCCTACTTTTTGGCGCGAGTTGAAAGGGGGCGATGGATGGGGGAGGAAGAAAATGCCACTCTGGGGCACTAAAGGCCCCCCGTGGGACCTGAAGGGCCCCTTTCTGCAAGGGTTCTGAAGGGCCCCTTTCTGCAGAACAAGGAAAGGCGACACCAACACCACCAGGGCGAGGAGATGCGAGGAGCAAGGGGGGTCTCCCTGGTGGTGTGGTACCCCCCCCCCTCTCGCTCGAGACATCCCCAGCCTCCAGCTCAGGGAAGCATCCTGGACCTCCTCGCTGGAGGTGGCCTCCCCGGGGGTGCTGATGTCGCACCCCCCCTTTCCGACCATTCATCGACCCCCCCTTACCCATCGGTCGGAAGAACCAGGTAGGAACATGAAGCAGGAAGGCGTTGGAAGTAGACTGGCTTCCCGCCCGCCCCCTGAGGAGGAGGGACGAGGGGAAGCCACTCGATCCCCGGAGCAGGAAGGCGCCTATAAAAGTAGACTGGCGTCTGGGAACCCCAAAATACCTACTTTCACAACGACCGCCGGGCACGAGCCTCTCCGGCGGTGGACAGAAGAATAAGGATAAGGATAAGGATAAGGATAAGGATAAGGATAAGGATAAGGATAAGGATAAGGATAAGGATAAGGATAAGGATAAGGATAAGGATAAGGATAAGGATAAGGATAAGGATAAGGATAAGGATAAGGATAAGGATAAGGATAAGGATACGGATAGGATAAGGATAAGGATAAGGATAAGGATAAGGATAAGGATAAGGATAAGGATAAGGATAAGGATAAGGATAAGGATAAGGATAAGGATAAGGATAAGGATAAGGATAAGGATAAGGATAAGGATAAGGATAAGGATAAGGATAAGGATAAGGATAAGGATAAGGATAAGGATAAGGATAAAGTCCTGTCAGGGTGGCCCGCGCGGGGCAGGACCTTCACTGAGGCCTCCATTGTCGAACTTGGCCTCCGCCGCCCAGTTCACGAACTCGTCCCGGTGCTGCTGCCAAGCATCCCCAGCTGCAGTCGCTTTCCACACAAACCTCCCTTTAGTGAACCACCCTTCAGTGAAAACGGCCTACTAAAACCGAAACCGACGGGCCTGGACCCGCAAAAATGACGGCCGCGACGCCCCCTCGCGAACCGAGAGCGGCCAATTCGCTAATCGACGTGTCCGGGCAGGAAGTCTATCAACCTCCAATCTCTCTAGAGTCCCGAAACGGTGCGGTGACAGACCGTGCGGTGACCTCGAAATCCCCCAAGACCTCACCGCACGGTCCGTCAACGCACGGTTTTGGGACCTTGGAGGCCCCAGTCGCCCGAGACGTCCCTGGAGAACGACCCGAGTCCCAAAACCGTGCGGCGACCCCGAATCCCCACCGACTCACCGCACGGTGTGGTCATCACCCCGTTTGGGGGCCCCCGAACGTCCCCGTCGCCATGAGGGCCCCCTAAGGTGGACGACCCGGGGGGGCCGCTGCGAGAGCTTCCAGCAGCTGCACGGCCGATGGTTCTCCCCGCGCGCCTCTCGCCGTGGCGCCGCGCACGCTCGCAACCTCGCCGCTCGCACGCTGGTTTGGGGGCCCCCGAACCTCTCGATGCTCGGAACGGCAGCCCGCCTCCAGGGTGCGCCTGGGGCGCCGGGTTCCACTCGCGTAAGGAATTTTCATGTTGGGCAACGCATGCCATGAGATCGTCTTCATCGCATCGATGGAACCTAGGATATGGCGCGTACGGAAACACACGGGCCAGTGAACAGCCTATAACCAAGTAGCTAGCACCAGCAGTAGCAGTAGCAGTAGCAGCAGCAGCAGAAGGAGAAGAAGAAGTAGCAGCAGCAGCAGCAGTAGCAGCAGCAGTAGCAGCAACAGCAGCAGAAGAAGAAGAAGAAAAAGCACGAGTAGACATAGCCGTAACAGTCGCACTAGTAGTCGTAGCGGTCGCACTCGTAGTAAGACGCGAGGACGGGATGGGGCACATGCGGTGGCCCTTGCATCACCCGCGGAGCCGTGGTCGCACTGCGTCCGCACTGGCCGGTACATCACCTCGTCGCAGATGGGGCAGATCAGGTCGCAGTCCTGCTCTCTGACCTCCACGCTCCTGCACGAGCCGACGTCGTCGCCGCCGCCGTCTTCGCCGTCGTCTCCGCCGTCGTCGTCGTCGTCGACGTTTCGTCGTCCGGGAGGCCCGCGAGCAGGCCTCAGGAAGTCCCCGGGATGGAGGCCCCTGGAGGAAGGCAAATGGAGGCCTCTGGAGGCCCAGAAGCGCACAAAATCCCAGACCCTTTTCGTCGTCGTCGCTCGTCGCTCGTCGTCCGTCGCCCGTCGTCTGCCGACCGTCGTCCTCGCAGTCGTCGCCTTCGCCAGCCGTCGCCGTTGTCGTCGCCGTCCATGGCAAGCGAGCAGAAGATGCGGCGCAGGCTGGGGCGACCCCTGCGGCGGCGGGCGCCGCACCCCCACACACAAAAAAACTGCAACCGATCGAACGAACGACGACCGAAAGAACGAACGAACGAACCATCGACGACGACGACGACGACGACGACGATCGACCATCCTCGATCGAGCGAACGATCGACGGAGGCCTCTGTCGCAGAGGGCCACCGAAGGCCACCAAGGGCCGCCGAGGGCCGCGGAGGCGGGCGGCGGCGGCGGCCGACGACGAGGGCGAGGGCGCCGCGGCGTGTGGCGCCTCCTCCGGCGAAGTTTGTCCTCCGCCTCCTCGCCGCGGCAGGCCTGCGTCGGAGGGGGCGGGGGTGGCAGGGGAACCACCCTCATCATATGCTGCTCGTCGTCCAGCTCCTCCTCCTCCTCCTCCTCCTCCTCCTCCTCCTCTTCCTCCTCCTCCTCCTCCTCTTCCTCCTCCTTCTCGTCCTCCTCCTCCTCCTCCTCCTCGCCCTCCTCCTGATCCTCCTCCGCCCCCCTCCTCCTCCTCCTCCTCACCCTCCTCCTCATCCTCCTCCGCGCCCTCCTCCTCCTCCTCCTCCTTTTCCTTTTCCTCCTCCTCCGCCTCCTCATCATCATCATCCTCGTCGGACTCCTCCTCCTCATCATCATATCATCCTCATCATCATCAGCATCAGCAGCATCAGCATCATCCTCAACATCATCATCATCATCATCATCATCATCATCATCATCATCATCATCATCATCATCATCATCATCATCATCATCATCATCATCATCATCAGCATGATCCTTCTCACCTTGCCGACGCCATTCGATACTCGGTAAAGGGGAATAGCCCAGGGGTCATACGGGGCGCCACTGCGAGTTCCCTGAACTCGAAGAGCGCCCCTGCGCAAGTGGCCACTTATTTAATATTCAATGAATGGCCGGGCGACAGTGGCCTAGGACCTATCGCCCTGACACTCAGGGCAGGCACGGCCTTCCCCAGGAAGGTGGGGCCGCATGGGCCCGGATGCCCATCCGTGTCGATGGACAGGCACGGGCACCCGCCTCTGGTGCCTGAAGCAAGGGCGGAAGTGACAGCGATCGTGCATCCGCAGATTCTACGCGTTGACCTTCGTCGCGAGACAGTCGCCTCAAGGACAAAGCCCGGCGGCAAGGCTGGCGGTCCTGCACTTTCTCAGATCCCTGGTTCTCACACTTCGTTTCTTGCAGGCGCTGCCTGGCGGCAGCGCCAGTTCGCGTGCAATTGCCGATTCTGCACGCCTGCCCCCGTCGCGAGGCAGATGCCTCAAGGACGCGGCCCAGCGGCAACGCCGGCGGCCCTGCGCACTTGTTTGATTCGCGGGTCGAGAGCGCACCTCTTCCGGTCGAAGCGAAGCGGGCCGCGCGAAGCTTGAATTAACAAAGAGAGGGGGGAACAGAAGAAGAGGCCTCGCGGCAAGGCCAGGAGGAGGCAGAGCCCCGGCGGCCCTGCACGCCCCCTCGTCGAGCCGCTACCGAACTTCGTACTCTTCGGGACGCTGGCTGGCGGCAGTGCCAGCCGTCGCGCGCTCGCAGACTACAGTCGGGGCGTTGACCTAAGGAACCCTAAACAAGGCACGAGGCCCCCTTTTTTTCATAAGTTAACCTTCGATTTCCTGTCGAAGACATCAGGGAAGCCTGAGGCAAGCTGTGAAACACTCGAGGAACGCGGAGCCCCTCCCCAACGAAAAGGGTTCCTTCTTCAGGGCCCCGACTGTATGCGAGCCCACCCCCGTCGCCAGGCCGCTGCCTCGAGGACCTCGGCCGGCGACGAGGCCCGCGGCCCTGCGCGCTCTCACCGTGGCACCGATAACCGAGGCGTGTCGCTCTGAAGGGGCCCCATGACGCACAAATAGATACACACAAATAAAAATATCCCCCATACTTTCCCATATTTTCGGGGTTTTTGTCTTCGCCCCCACTTCCCATATTTTTCCATATTTTCTGGGAGATCGACGATTCATTGTGTCTGTGTGCTTTTTCCCCTTCCTGACTCTCTTGGGGCACTGGCTGGCGGCAGCGCAAGGCTTTCGCGCATCCAAGAGGACGCGGCCCGTCGGCGAGGCCGGCGGCCCTGAGCCTGCTTGCGCAGTAGCGCCACGAAGGCTTGCCCCCTCCGGGGCGCAGGCTGTCGGCCCTGCCAGCCGCCGCGCGCCCGTACAGTCGGGGCGTTGACCTAAGGAACCCCAAATAAGGAACGAGGCCCCTTTTTTCCATAAGTTAGCCTTCGATTTCCTCTCGAAAACACAAGGAAAGCCTGAGGCAAGCTGTGAAACACTTAAGGAACGCGGAGCCCCTCCCCGACGAAAAGGGTTCCTTCTTCAGGGCCCCGACTGTACGAAGGCTTGCCCCCTCTGGGGCGCAGGCTGTCGGCAATGTCAGCGGCCGCGCGCCCGTAGATCATGCGCGCCCACGCCCGTCGCGAGGCCGGAAGTCGCCTGGCGGCAGAGCGGGCGGCCCCGCGGGCTCTCTCACGTCGACGCCGCGCTCCGTGTTCTGCTGGGCGCGCCGGGTCGGCCGCAGTGCTGGCTGTCGCGCGCCCGCAGGCGCAGCGCGGCGGCAGGGCCCGCGGCCGTCCGAGCCCTCGCGAGGCCTGCGCTGCCACGGCTCATCTCCTCTTGCCGTCTCCTCTTGCACGCGGTCTGGCGGCAGTGCCAGTCTTCGTGCATCCGCAGAGTCTGCGCGCAAGCTCCCGTCGCGAGGCAGTCGCCCCGCAGACGCGACCCGGCGGCAAGGCCGGCGGCTCTGCGCGCTCGCAGTGGCGCGGAACTCACAAGTCGTCTCCTTCGGGCGTTGCCTGGCGGCAGCGCCAGCGCGCATCGGCAGATTCCGCGCGCTTGCCCCCGTCGCGAGGCGAATGCCTCACGGACGTCGCCCGGCGGCAAGGCCGGCGGCCCTGCGCGCTCTCACGTCGAACCACGATCCGTCTCCTGTTGGACGCTGTCGCGCGGCAGCGCCGGCTGTCGTGCATCCGCAGGTTCTGCGATTTGGCCCTCGTCGCGAGGCAGTCGCCTCAAGGACAGTGCCCGGCGGCAAGGCCGGCCGCCCTGCGCGCGCGAGCCCTCCCTGGTTCTCACAATTCGTCGGGGAGGGCACCTGCCCTGGACTCGCGCAGAACGATCCCGTTCGGGGCGCGCCGGCCCACTCGCGGGCGCGCGCCCGGGGAGGGCCCCTGCCCTACAAAAAAAAAAACACAACTGATCAACGCATAGACATGCCAGAAGGCCTTCAGGAGCGGCGCCCTGGGCCCCCCCGCCTGCCGAGGCCGACGGCAGGCGCCAGGCAAAACAATACGTGGACCTCCCGCGCCCGATTCCTCTCGGGCGGGCCCCAGGGCAGGGTCCGCCAGGCGGCCTCGGCGCGACCTGGCGCGCCCCTCGCGCATTGTCGCGGCCTTGGGAGGAGGAGGAGGAGGAGGAGGAGGAGGAGGAGGAGGAGGAGGAGGAGGAGGAGGAGGAGGAGGAGGAGAAAGAGGAGGAAGAGGAGGAGGAGAGGAGGAGGAGGAGGAGGAGGAGGAGGAGGAGGAGGAGGAGGAGGAGGAGGAGGGGCGGGCCTCTGCCTTCCTTTGCCTTCGGCCCCTCTGGTGGCCAGGGTGGCCCCGGGAGGTCCGCGCGCAGACCTCCGAGCGCGACTCGGCGGGCGCCAGCCCAAGGCTGGACTGGAGTGCCACCGCGAAGGGGCCAGGAACCAAGACGCCACGGCAGCGTCGCAAACTCTGCGTCGACTGCCGCGCCCGCACGCCGCGTCGCGCCCACGCCCCCTGGGGCCGCGCGCGGCCAGCGGAGAGCGACCGGGCAAGGACCCCCCGCTGGCAGCCCTTTGCTTTGGCCAGTCCACTTGGCCACCCGCCAAAATCACCGCGAGCCGAGCGCCTCGATTCCACGGCTCCTCAGGAAGTAAACGGCTCAAGACGAGCGCGAGCCCAGCTCGAGCAGCATGCCCCCGCCCCCAGGGCCGAGGCAGATGGCCAGCAGAGCGGCCGCGCCCCGCGACGCCTTCCTTCCGCCCCCATTTCCCCCCCGCCCCCCCCCCCTATCGGCTGCTCCGAATCGCGTCGCGACGACGGCCCTTGCCGCAGGTCATCGGCTCAAGCCTCTGCCGCCCGCAATCCGCCCACCTGCGCCTGCGCGAAGGCTCGCCAGCTGACCAACCGGGACAGATGCCCGACGACACGATCCGCCCAGGCAGCCCACGCCAGGCCCCGGGTTGCAGCGGGCGCCGTCTCGGAGGGCTGGAAGCCCACTGCAGCAGGGGCCCGCGAGGCGGAGCGACGCGTACCTGAAGTCGGGCCTGTCCCCCTCCAGGGGGATTTTGGACGAAACATAAAACATGGTCAAAAAATACCCCCAAATGGTAAAAGAATGCTCAAAAAATAATCCCCTGACATTTGTTTTACGATTCTTGAAATATTCCTCCTGTAGGGGGGCAGGCCCGACGTAAGGCTGGAACCCCACTGCAGCAGGGGCCCGCGATGCGGAGCGACGCTTACCCGCTGGATCCCGCGGCAGCCGACCACGCGCCCTGGGGCCGCCGGCAACTCGCCAGGACCCTCCCGGGCACCTGGCGCGGGGGGGGGAGGCAGAGTTGCCGCGCCGTGGAGAAGGCCACGAGGTGGAGGGGGCTGAACCCGAACGGTGTGCTTCGTTTTCGCTTTGTCTTCGTTTTCCCTCGCTGTGGTCTCGCATCCGCCTCTGCCGCAAAACGAGGTCGACACGAAAACGGCCCACGAAATCACCAAGAACACCGTGTAGGTCCAGCCCTGGTGGAAGAGGCCTCGAGGCGAAGGGGGCCGGGGCGGAACACTATCCCGCCCAGCCCCGCCGGGCGGCCCGGCGGCCGGGCACAGGAGGTCCTTGCCAGACGCGCGGCGTCACTCTGGGCGGCCCTGCCGGGCGCGGCCAGACCGCCCCGGGCCGAGCCAAAGACCCCCCGTGGGCCCGGGGCCACGCGAACCCCAAGAAGGTCCCGGCCCTCGGAGCAGCGCCAGTGCGCGGGCACCTGCGCCCGCGGCGGTGGCCCGGCGGTCGCCCCAGACCAGCTCTGCGACCTCCACTTCGAGCTAGGTGGCGCCATTCAGGCTCGCATCTCGAGCAATCGCTCCCTGCGAGAGCAAACGCAACTCATGGAGGCCACGACGCCCGCACCGACGGAATCCACTCCCGCGGATGCCAAAGAGCCCTCCTCGCAGGACACGGTGGACTTCATCAAGGCCCACCCCAGGGTCGACGCAACCAGCATGGAGCCGGAGGAGAGAGCCTCGCGCATCTCAGACTACGCTCACAACTGGGACAATCCCACCCCTCCGGCGGCCAAGTCGCCGGCACTCGGGCCGCAATCCTGTTGCCCCCGAGAGGTCGCCGGGCTCAACGGCGCATCCGCAGAGGTCGTCGGCGTGTCGTGGGAGGCGCTGGCCGAGACTGACGCCGCGGGGGAATTCTGCAGCGCCTCCCGGTGGCCCGCAGGACGGGTCGGCGACCGCGGCCCCGCGCTGCTGGCCCACAGAGGCACGGCTGCCGCCCCTCTCCAGGGCCTCTCCGGCGGTGCGCTCCAACCAGAAGTTCGGAGAGAAGCCAGCCGTGGCGGCGAGGTGGGGCGGCGAGATCTATGCAGATCCGCTGCTCCCTGGCCACGCTGAAGTCGGGCCCGTCCCCCCTACAGGGGGATTTTCGAGGAAGAATAAAAAATACCCCAAACAGAATCAAAATAATCAAAACATAGTCTAAGGACTATCTTTTGAATATTTTGTTTCACCTTTTTGGGGTATGTGTGGGGTAATTTTTATCTTTCGTCGAAAATCCCCCTTTATGGGGGACACGCCCGACATGACCCTACGAGGGCTCTCTGGGACGCGCAGCGGTACGAGTACAGTCGGGGCGTTGACCTAAGGAACCCTAAATAAGGAACGAGGCCGCTATTTCCCATAAGTTGAACTTCGATTTCCCATCGAAAACCTAAGGAAAACCCAAGGCAATCTGCGAAACAAGTAAGGAACACCGAGCCCCTCCCCAGCGAAAAGGGTTCCTTCCTCCAGGGCCCCGGCTGGGGACTATCTTTTGAATATTTGTTTACCTTTTGGGGTATGTTCGGTGTATCTTTTTATCGTTCGTCGAAAATCCCCCCTGTATGGGGGACACGCCCGACATGACCCTACGAGGGCTGTCCGGGACAAGCAGCGGTACGAGTACAGTCGGGGCGTTGACCTAAGGAACCCTAAATAAGGAACGAGGCCCCTATTTTCCATAAGTTGAACTTCGATTTCGTATCGAAAACCAAAGCAAAACCCAAGGCAATCTGCGAAACAAGTAAGGAACACGGAGCCCCATCCCCAACGAAAAGGGTTCCTTCTCCAGGGCCCCGACTGTAACCCCACGAGGGCTCTCCAGGACGAGCAGCGGTACGAGTATCTCTTCCCCCCATCGAAGGCCGCCCGTCGTGCAGCCGAGGGAGTGGCGCGGAGCAGCGGGGGAGCTGGCAGGAGCGGGCCACGACCTCGCCGCCGCCGGCCGCCGCGCTGCCCGCGTCCACCTCCGAGTCCTCGTCGCTGGAGTCGTCGGTGTCCTCGGGGGGGGGGGGGGGAAGGGCAGGGGGCCACATTGAAGGGGCCCCAGGACCCACAAATAAATACACACAAATAAACAGATTCCCCATATTTTCCCATATTTCTGGGCTTATGTCTTCCCCCACACTTCCCATATTTTCCCATATTTTCTGGGGAATCGAGGATTAATTGTGTCTGTGTGTTTCTGTTCCTCCTGACACATGTGAACCCTACCCCTACCCCGCCCTCCCCCTCGGAAATCGTGGGGGGCAGGGGTAGGGTTCACATGTGGCCTCCTAGAAGGGGTCACGCCCGCGACTTGACAAACGAACAACACATACCCAGATCCACAGAGGGGTAGGAGGGAGGAGGACTGGCCGTGGGTACCGCGGGGGAGGCTCCCGTTCGGGCGGGGGCCCCGTCCGACAACACGCAGCCATAGCCCTAATCCTTCCCCATCCGTCCACCCTATGGTCAGTGGTCGGCGGCGAAAGCCCTAGGGAGGTAACTGAGAAGGAGAAAGCCTTCTGAGAAGGCTCGGAAGTCCCCCAACCTTCTGAGAAGTTTTGCAAGCTTCCCCCGGCAGACACAAAATACTGCTCAGAAGGCCGGGGGGGGCTTCTGAGAAGCCCGGCTGCCTTCTGAGAAGGCCGCCTGCCAGGGGAGACGGCATCGGCCACAACAGGGTTCCAAGAGGGTCGTCTTCTGCCAGTGCAGTTACACCCCCGGGGCCTGCGAGCCGCAGCCCCTGACCCAGACCGAGTGGGGGGGAACGAAGCCGCCTTCGCGCTGCCACGCCGCAACGCAAAGAGGAAGAGGAAAGGGCGCTGGCCACGCTCGGGCCCACGGCCCAAATCGTCCCAATCCCTCGGCCTGCGCACCGCGCTCGCACATTCACCATTTTCCGTGAGAGCGCCCAAGACGGCCCCAGAGACCCCCCAGGTCGCCCCACGACGGCGCAAGAAGCCCCCAAGACAGCCCCAGAGGCCCGGAGAGAGCCCCTAGAGGACACCAAGAGGTGGAACCTCAAAGGGGTCCTCGGAGACTGTGCCCTCCACACGGCCCCCAGGACTCACAACAGACCCCTGGAAGCCCCCAAGACGTCCCCAAGATGACCCAGAAGGCCCCCAAGAGGTCCCGAAGAAGCCTCCTGGACACCTCCAAGAGGCCCCAGGAGGCATCCAAGAGGCGCACAAGAGGCATCCAAGAGGCACCCGAGCGGAGTTCCAAGATATCCCAACAGGCATTTAGAAAGCCGATGACCCACAACCCAGGCCCGATGGCGGGATGGGCCGATGGCCACAAGGGAACAGGTTGGATCTCTATTTCTCTCTCTCTGTGTCCCTCCCTTCTCTCTGTCATATCTATATATATATATATATACATACATACATACATACATACATACATACATGCATGCATGCATGCATGCATGCATGCATGCATACATACATACATATAATCTGCGTATCTCTCTCTCTCTCTCTTGCCCTCTCTCTCTCACTCTCTCTTTCTCTTTCTCTCTCTCTCTCTCTCTTTCTCTCTCTCTCTCTCTCTATATCGTTATCTCCCTCTCTCTCTCTCGTTCTCTTTCTCGTTCTCTCTCGCCCTCTCTCTCTCTCTCTTTATTTCTCTCGCTCTCTCTCTCTCTCTCTCTCGCTCTTTCTCTCTCTCTCTCTCCTTTCATATACATATATATATATGTGCACACATGCATATATGTTAACAAGCGTGGACCCACAACAATGTATGCAATTTACGTGGTGCCAACTATGTGGACACATTGATTTTACCAAACGAATTTACATATCCCATGCTCTGGCAAACATCCCACCCACCCACCCGCAACGTGATTTGCAAAACCCATGCGGTGGCGATTGCGATGAATGTTTGGTGTTGGCTGGTGCCTCTCTGCGGCCGCGCCAACCCTAGCACGCTCGCGGAACGGCCAGCTAGTTTGGCGCCACCGACGCGGCCGCGGTGGCGCTGACCGCTAGGCGCATCCCAGCGGGCACTGCACTGCGAGTCGGCGATTTGGGCGGGCGCTGTATCAGGGCAGCGCCGACAACGGTATACACGATGCTGATCGTATGGAAGTTGGTGACGATGTTCGCATCGACGACAACGCGGCCAGTGCGGGCGCCGATACTGATCACGCCGACGACGACGACCGCGCCCTCGCGTCGGAGATGAAGGTGTTGGAAAGATTTCGACATGCGCGCGCGGCCGACTCGCGAGTGTGGCCCGCATAGTTTTATCTGACACGGGTCGTGCCCACCCAGCACGCGCGCAAGGGCGTGCGAATTATGTCGGCATGCGGCGCCAAAGGCCCGCTTGGCTGACTCCTATGAAAATGTTGAAAAATGGTTTCCCTAAAAATTCGCAAGAGCGCGCTTTTTTTTTTGAAAACAGATGTTGCGAAACCATGTGTGTTTTGAAAATGTGTTGGACAGTTGGTGTTGACATCCTTCCGAAACCGAAGGTTTTTGGAGGATTCCCGCATGCGCGCGCCACGACGCGCGCGCGCACTTCGTCTCATTTGTTGCGAAGGATTCTCGCGACGGCACGCGCGCAACGGCGTTCGAACGATTTCGACACGCGCACGCGAACACCTTGGTAGCATGTCCTGGAAATATTGAAAACCAAAAATTGTTTCAAGAATGTGCAAGAACGCGCGCGCGTACGTTTTGTTAGAAATTCCGCGTTCCAAAACAATGTGTGTTTATATGCTTCTGAATTCTCGATTTTGACATCCTTCCGAAACCGAAAGTTTTTGAAGGGTTTGGACATGCGCGCGCGACGACGCGCGCGTGTGCACTTCGTCACATGTTGCGCAAGGGATTCTTGAACTCTGATGATTTTTGATAGACGAGCCCGCGCGCATAACTATCTTTTGCCAAAAATGACGGGGGGGGCCGATACCGTTTGGGCTGGGATGGTACGGAATCAGAAATGGATGGACGAAGGGGCAGAATCATACGTACATTGTCATACGAGTAACGGGGTCGATACTTTGGGGTGGTAAAATCTATTCCATCCGTAGAAAAGAGAATCTACGCGGTGCCATCTACGCGGCGCAATTGATTTTTAACAAACAAGCTGACACGCCCCATGCCCCTGCAAACATCCCACCCGCCAACCGCAACTTGGATTGCAAAACCCATGCGGTGGCGATTGCGATGGATGCTTGGCGTTGGCCGGTCCATCTCTGCGGCCGCACCGACCCAAGCACGCGCGCGGAGCGGCCAGCTAGTTTGGCGCCACCGACGCGGCCGCGGTGGCGCTGATCGCTGGGCGCATCCCAGCGGGAACTTCAGTGTGGGCGGGCGCGGTATCATGGCAACGTCGACAACGATAGACACGACGATGATAGCAGCGATGCTGGTGACGATGGTCGCACCGACGACAACCCGGCCAGCGCGGGTGCCGATACTGATCACGCCGACGACGACGACGACCGCGTCCTCGCGTCGGAGATGAAGGCGTTGGAAAGAGTTCGACATGCGCGCGCGGCCGACGCGCGAGAGTGGCCCGCATGGTATTATCTGACACGGATCGCGCCCCCCCCCCCCCAGCACGCGCGCAAGGGCGTGCGAAGGACGTCGGCATGCGGCACCAGAGGCCCGTCTGGCAGAATCCCATGAACATGGTGAGAAAACGATGGCTTTCCGATTAAAGCTTCGCAAGAGCGCGAGCACACGCTTTTTTGAAAACGGATTCGGCGAAAGCATGTGTAATACGTTTTTGGACATTCGATTTTGAAATCCTTACGAAACCGAAGGTGTTGGACGGATTCCAGCATGCGCGCGCGACGACGCGCGCGCGCACTTGGCCCCATCTGTTGCAAAGGATTCTCGCGACGGCACGAGTGCAAAGGCGTTCAAGCGATTTCGACGTGCGCGCCCAAATCCCGTTTGGTAGCATCGTGTGAAGGTGTTGAAAACCACTGACATTATCAAGAATTCGCAAGAGCGCGCGCAAGTTGTTTTTTCCGCGTTGGGAAACCCTGTGTTTTATGTGTGCGTTGGACACTCGATTTTGAAATCTTTGCGAAAGCGAT